AATGGTTTGTTAATTGCGGGAAAATAAAGTGTGACTGTGAAATCTAACAGCCCTTTATGCAGACGTGAAAGCACCAGATCCACAACCTAAATTCAGGGAGGTTTGATTGTATACACTTCCTGTACAATGACACATAGCATTCTGTGGTTCTGGCAGATGTAGATATACACCATCAAAACCACAATCTGGCTTTGTGCCATTTTGCAATTTTTTGATGATTGCTGTGAGGAGCATATCACATTTAACATACTGATACAAGCATAAAACAATCATTTGATTCACTTTGACCAACTGGAATATTCTGGGACTCCTATTAACCTTCGTTAACGTAAACCAAGTCTGTGACCAATACAAATTATGCCCTGGCTGTAATTCCATGAGGAACAGATCAATATAAATTTTCAGTTTTCAGTATGCTATGAATAGTTCTTTAAAAGCCATTTTGAAAACCATAATTTCGTATCTGTCATTGTCATTTTTTTATGACAGAAGTGGTGAAGCATTGCCTTTATTTTTGTTCCAGGACACCCAGTTTTATTAAGAATTTTCCACACATTTGTTGTAGTTTGCATTTAATTGACTGAAATATAATGGTGACCATATGTGTTTATTTGAGCAATATAAATTCATTCACTGTGGTGACAGGAAGTTGGCTGTACACCTGTAATCTTTATTCCGTTTTGAATTTTGTATACATGTTGTTTTATAAATTCTGAATGATAATAGCAATTTAATGTTTTTAAAATATTCAAATAATTTGCTTACCCACTATTTAAATGGCCATTGCCGTACATTACAACCCTAAACGCATGTCCTCTACAGTGCACAGATGTGTAATCCTCTGAAAAAAAAAAAGGGGGAAAAAAGATTAGAAATAGTTATATGCTTTTTTGAAGTGTAAACACATAAAGATTTTGCTTTGAGATGAATGCATTACAGGGTTGTTTTGCCCATTACGGTGCTTTTCATAACCAAATTTCAATATTCAAATACAGTCAAAAAGCTTTGTTTCTACAGTTACACAAGGAATCTTTATTCAGTAATGTTTGTTTAGGGGGGTTACATTTACACAGTGACCGGAGTGCATTCTTTTACATTAATGAAAACTATTGTTTTGACCTCACCGCTCTCTCTCCACATCTTCTCAATCAGTCCTTCTTGCTTGGTTTCTAACAGCTTTCCTACAACATAGACCAGCAGGTCATAACACTTCCCCATCTGTCTCTCTTAGTCCCACTCTTTCAGTGTCCTCCTCTTTCTCCATGTCACCATGCCTCCACATTCTCTCTATTTTCATTTATTCATTTATTTATTTTTACTTTCTGACGGCTTGCCAACGCACTGTTATTTAATGTATCACTCTTAAGTGCTCTTGCTTAATATTCTATTCTACTCCACAATCAGTTTTTCTTCTCTCTTTTTATCTTTCTCCCTCTGCAGTTGATCATACCATTGCATGCAGCAGCTGCTATCACGCTTGTTCTGTTTGTTCCTGTGTTATGGAAACTCAAACTAAACAGCTGAAGTGTGATCTCCTCAGTCTGATGAGACTGATACTCACTCCATCCTCAAGCATACTATAATATGCAAAACCTAGAGAAAAAAGTGGGTTCATTACTTTCAAAAGTCTGCCTAACAAGACTTTGTTTGTCTCTGTTTTGATTAAATCAGTCTACAACAGCTTGCTTCTATCATCTTTATTTAAAAACACTGATTCGGTGAAATATTTAGTGCATTATGAAATAAATGTCTGTTTTTAAAGTGTCTTCAAGCGTGCACACACTTTTCTCTGTACTTTGATCCATAAGTCAGAAGTTCAGCTGCTTAACAGTGAGGAATGTGAAGGAAGATAAATTATATTGTGGAAGTCAAACAGGACTAGCCCCTTTCCCCTTCCATCTCATAGTGCTTATCACGTCATTATTTGAGGGACAGGAGTTACGGAGGCTTCCTTTAGTGATAGTAAATGATATGAACCACAAAAACAGGGTACAAATGCACATTCCTACACAAATACCTATTATTTTCCTCTGATTGTGTGTTTCTGTAATTTATCAGTTTAAGCACACATACTGATACCGATAGCCTATGCAGAGAAGAACCAAGCCAACCAAAAGGAATTCAGGATTTGTGGATGACAATCTTTAGGTATTGGTTTGTTTTAGTTGTTTGTGATCCAACCTTTGCTAGGGAGCAGCTGATATACAGCAGGAGACAGATAAAGATGCTTGGTTCCTTATTGCACAGCCTGTGACCAGTAAATAGGATGTGAGATTTGCTGGCATGCAGATCACTCAGGAAGGTTACTGAAGACCACAAGGTCATTTAAACTGTAGGCAGTGTACTGATTAGATACTGACTCTGCGTTACACTGCACTCTTAAAAATAAAAGTTCCAAAAGGGTGTTTTTGCAGTGACACCATAGAAGAACCATATTTGGTTCCCCAAAGAACCTTTCAGTGAACAGTTCCTAAAAGAAGCTTTTTGAAGAACATTTTAAAAATCTAAAGAACCTTTTTTGACTATAAAGAAACTTTTCTGCATTTGAAAGGTTCCATGAATGTTCAAGGTTCTTCATAGAACCATTGATGCTAATAAAGAACCTTTATTTTTAAGAGTGTGCACTAAGAAATTATCACAAGCATCGAAATATTACTAAAAAAAAAAACGTAAAAACTATTGTGTCTGTGGACATGAATAATTATGCTCGCATCAATCAACCTTTCGGTAGTATTATTTATTTTTCTGTTGCTTTTGATGCTTTGATTTTGTTGTCACATTTTGTAACATATGTTTTGTGTTAAGATGTTTAAAGCGCTCCCTATTTTATAGGAATGAATTAATTAATTAGCAAGTCTTTTTAAAACGTTTTCAGAAAATATTTTGCTTACCTTTACTTTCTAATTTTTCATGTTGAAAAGCACTCAAGTGGCAGGGCAGAAAAAGCATCATAAGCTACCATTAACCCGTTTAGTTTGATTTGTTCTGACAAGTAGCTAAGAATTGAGATGAAGGGGAAAATAACAAACGGATGACTTTCCTCTTTTCCGACAATAATTTGTCTAGCATCTTTCAGCCTTCTCTCGCGAGGATAACCCGCGCACTTCCTAAAAGACTTTTCTGCACTCGAGAAAACTCTTAGGCTAACTACAGTAAAATCCCCCTCACTTTTGACATTTCCCAGAGGACATTCAGAGTCTTGTGAAAACTGTTTATTTTAAAGATAGTCATTGTAACAGAGGTCAGACACGTTTGCTGTCTGTCCTCCAGAGTTTCGCAATGTATTAAGAGTTTCGCGCTGTCAAATACAAATGATTATCGCTTTAATAAAAGGAGGGGAAAACTAAGATGTACTTGATGTGATTTGATCTAATCTTCGCTAATTGATGGGTTTCGGTGAAAAGCGGACAAAAAGATGAGCCAAAAAAGAGATCAATCGTATCCTTAATTATTAAATCCAACACATATTAAGGAAACAGACTAAATAAAACGATTAACAGTAACCGTATGTTTACCATAATCAAATAGGGCTACTATCCAACCACAAACCGTAATGTCCGATTCATGTTTCCCAGTAAATAATTAGCAAAATATTAATCAGTAAATGCATTGAGGTTTTATAAGTCAGAGGTAAAACGGTGTTAATTCTGTAATTCTGTGCGGCTGCAGATAGAGATAATGAGCTGTCCAGAGTGCTGAAGACCACGTATCGCTTTCAGATGAGGCGCCTACTTCGTCTTACTATTCACGTTAAACCACGCAACTCTCTTTCACACGAATTACTAAAATATTGTATCCTAAATACGTTGAATCACAGTGTAATCAAGCACTGTAGCACTGTGGGATTTGACAGAGGTAGCCTAACTTCAATACACTCATCAACTAAAGGGTATTTCTGTATGTTTTGTATTGCAAACATTTGAAAGAAGCAATTTCACGTGTAGGCTACGATCCAGGTACTTTTTCAGTCTTCAGTGATGTCATATGAATAGTTAGTTTCATATCATTAACGTCGGCATCACTATTCTCATTTTGATATACCTAGGCTATCTAAGACACCGAAGCGTACAGTATGCTACTATAATTATTTTATGTATATAGCCTACAATAATCACAAACTATACAATGAATTAGCATATACATCTCACGTGCTAAACGTGTTTAATGTACATCTACAATAAAGTGATAAAATATTACGGTAATTATTTTGCCTATGTAGCCTAGGCTATATTTGGTTACACTTTACTTGAAGGGGTGTGCATAAGACTGACATGACACCTTCATAATCATGACATGACACCTACATAATCATGACATGACACATGTCATGAATATGAACACTTAATGACAGTTGTCATAAACATGCATAAAACCTCCTTCATATTCATGACATGTGTCATGTCAGTCTTATGCACACCCCTTCAAGTAAAGTGTTACCCTATATTTTAATACTGATCCTTAATACTGATCGAAATGTCCTCTAGCGGCGTTCTGCTGCTATGGTTACCCTCCTCAGGCAAACAACATTTCTCTATTTGGCGACAGGTGAAAATGTGAGAGTTTCTGCTTACTGAAATAAATGTATTTGTGAACAATTATAAAATTGAACCTATTTAATGCACTTTTTACATTTGTTCTGCCATCCCTTGGGGGGCTTAAAGCTTAGTAGAGAGGGTCAGACCCCCCAAAAGCCCCCGTCGCACCCCGTCTCGAGTCTAAAGAAATGACCATTAACCGCTTCCAAGCGTAATATTTTCCCACGGCTCTCAAGTTTTTTTTTCATATACACCTTAATGAAAAGAGGATATTCCACGTCATTTACTCTTTTACATCAGAAAAAAAGAGAAAACAACAGAGACAAAGCAACTGGGTGCGCTCTGTCACTACTAACTTTCGGTGGCATTCCCTTCTTTCACACGAGCATTCCGTGAACACGAGCGCCTTCCTTTGCTCAGTGAGGGGCGGGGCTTAACGCGCAACCACGCCTCCCTCGAACAACACACTACAGAGTGAGAGAAAAGCGCTTCCGAGCGCTCAATCCTGTCACTGTACAGACATGAACCGAGCTCAGCGAGCAATAATCACATCAATGATTTGTATTCTTCGCGATTAACACTTGATTTTTCTTTATCGCTCAAAGGTGCAACACTTTTCCGTCCCAACCGACCTGTCTCCGTTCAGAAATCGTTCAATCGTTTGCGCTGGATCTGTCGTGCCAGAAGATGTGTGTGGAAAGCGATGGATGTGAAATCGAGGGGTGCAGCAGTTCGGATGAGGTGCACACGCTGTCTGGAAGCATGAGTCCGGCTCTTAAATCCAGTCCAGACCTGCATCCCTGCAAACCTGGGCAGAAATTCCGTGCCGCATTACTCCGATGCCGGTCTCCACTCGTTGCCGCCGGGATTCTGAGTTTTGGAAATGTGCTCAATTACATGGACAGATACACCGTAGCAGGTAAGACCAGTATTTTCTTGGCGTATGGACGTTCGCTTTACTATCTGCCTCAGGAGAGCGAAAACCGCGCTAGTCATCATTTGTATTGTTTAATGTTTCACTTACAGAGAGGTTTCAGGTCAAAACACTGACCAGGAAAATCACAGTTTAAACATTAGCATAAGTCAAGTGATCATTTGTGTATCTCGCGGCGCGGGTTAAAGACGGTCTTATTCTGTGTGATTTAATCAAACCATCCGGATTGAGAGAGGTAACCCCGTTGTGCTAACATGATATTGATTGGCTACTATTGTGAGTGATTTTAGGTCAATCTAATCTGATCCTCTGCCTGCCAAATGAGTGAAAACCCAAACCCTCATGACAAGTGGTCCCATGTATAATTGTATGTCTATTATAAGCCCTTTTCAAATCAGTATCCACGTTACACATTAGGCTCCTGTAAACAATTATTAATGGCAATGTGCCCATACAAGCAGCTCCACACAATAATTACGTATTAAGTTCATTAGTAGGCTATTGTGTGTAAATATACAACGAGACTCAAAATCACGTTACGCATTTATCAACCCATCTGATCAATGTAAATGTAATGGACATTGTGTCCAAATGTAATACGTTTACACATACCTACATAAAAATACACAGACCTCAGTTAAAGCAGTAGCGATATACTCGAGGACATTACAGTACAATGCAGGGGCGTAGCCATCATTTCAGAAGTGAGGGGGACAGAAATATCAAGTTAGCACTGCATTGTTCATATACTTTATTTATTACCTGGAGATGACTTGACAAACACAAATAAACCATATTGTCGCAATCGTATGTTTAAAGTCTTCATGTTTCCAAACGTTTCTGTTTTTCTGAAAACTGTTTTCATACAGCGATAGCTGGACGCTTTTGTCCATATTAGGAATTTCCTCATACGACTTTCTGCGAGAGCGCCTCCGGCTTCGAGTATGAATGAAACATACACTGCATGAGTGTTTAGCGCTCCGCGATGTTCATCTCGCCTTATTCTGGGTCCGAATAAAACATCAGATCATGCACAGACTATCCTGTCTCTTTGAATTGAAATCTATATTTATTCACACGGGCTCTTGAAAACCTCTATGCGAACACACTTGCCCGAAAAAGTGCGGGGGATGAATTTACGTGATATTAAAAGTGGGGGGGGGGACACGTCCCCCGCGTCCCCCGCGTAATCTACGCCCCTGGTACAATGTAATTTAGAGCAAAATTCTCGAGGGACAAATTTTATATCTGTGGTTTTATAAATAGAAACCTCAGTAGCGCTCCACACAAGATGCCCTTGGTATCAGGAATCAAGTTATTCTGGAATAACGGCAGAGCGCAGCCGCGGTCTGTCATGTTTCCATAGAAACTAGAACAGATTTAATCTACTAGTTTTTATGTTGTGTCAAATTTAGCTTCCCTCAAAAAGTGCGGATTAATTCGTTTACTGAATGGGTACTCGGTGATCCGAGGGGACCTGTCAGCTGACATTCGCTCCAGCACACTCTGAGAGGGGTAATTTTCATGAATAACTAATGATAAGCAATTAGAGATTTGGAACCAGGCAAGAGTGCACTATTAGCTAGGGATTTTTGAAACGCGGGATTTAGGATAACCGTCAATACCAGATAGCCTACTGCTCTTAATCCATTTCCTTCAGCTTTACTTGTAATAAATAGGCTGTATAACTTTGTGTGTGTTTCTTGACAAAATAACCACATTGTAGTTTCCTTAAATTGCATCCTGAGACATAAAAACCATGTATTTGCAATTATTTGGCGGAGCTTGTAAATTAAAAACGGGCAGTGTTGTTTTTATTTTTATTAATTAATTAATTTGCAGAAGAAGAAAAAAAACATTATTTTCACATTATGATGATTGCATAAATGAAATGGAAATGTTCGCAGTGCCTGTTCTGTTCTTGCGCGCTGAACAGCGTGTTCCCTCTAGCGCGCGCTTCACAGACACTTTTGACAGCACAAGATGCTTGAATGGCGCGCCGCTGCAGCAGTTTTTTATTTTTATTTTTTGTAACGGGGGGCTGTAGTTATTCAGCAAAGCCTGGGATGCATCAAAATATATAAATGCAGGATCCCTTTAAATATGCAAAGGTGCGTTACTTTGCCAGATGGTAGCGTGTAGCATCACGCAGGCGAACAATTTAAGATGTCAGTCAATAATTCATGGAGGGAAATTTGCGAGGACTTGAAAGTAGAAAATTAGCAAAGGCAACGTTATCGCCCCGTGGCGGTTTCTAGCGCTGGACACTACAGGGTTCAGCAGCATTACATAAGTCAACCTAGCTGTGATAACATTATGAAAAAGATGTGTTTACGTGGGCTATCTTATCTAATCCTGCCATCTCTAAAATCAATCCCTTTTCCGGAATAGACAGATTTATCATCCTCTTTCATAGATAAAAGTATCAATGTAAGCTAAATTTATACTCAAGTGAGGTAACAGATAGGCTACACGCATTTGTCTATAAAAAGGAAGATCCTTATCATGTTGTACAACTGCTCATTTGAAACATACACAGCTATTCAACCTCTTGGCTTCTAAACAAGGAGTTATATCTGAACAGCTGAGATGAATGTAGAGAGTGAAATGGAGAATATATACGTGTGAGATGATGACTGCAGGGAGATTGCAGCAAATCGGTCAGTTCTCAAGAGAAGGAGTTGTGTAAGTGTATATGTTTGTTAGTGAATGTTGCAGCAGCAAACTGCATGTTGTTGAGTGTAGCATCTCTTGAAGACCTTAGTTCCTGATTGATCATGCGTTATGGGATGTGTATATGAGGATTAAGCCCCCTTCTTGAGTCAAGAGGAAGAGGGTAGTAGAGCTGACGCAGCCATCCTGCAGTGGTGACGACCACTCTTTAGTATGAGAGAGAGAGCGAGAGAGAATGATCCACATGGCTGCTGAGACAGAAGTGGTTGTCCTGCTGTTCAGTCATTTGTACTGCAGTCAATCTGACACAGGCATCATATTAATGACTTTCAGCAGTGGCTTGTTTGTGGGTTTGTTTGTCTGAGTGTGCATCAATGGTATGGTTCACCCCAAAACATAAATTCTGCATGACTTCTTATTTCTTATTTAAAACAAAAGAAGATGTTTTTTTCATACATTGAAAGTCAGTGGAGGTCAGTGTTGTTTGGGCTTTCAAAAAATCTAAAAATAGAAAGTTCTACAGGTTTGCAATTACATGAGAATGATTAAAAGATGACAGTTTTTTGTTATTGGGCAAACTTTTTCTTTAGAGCTAAAAGAGAGGTTAATCATCTAGATGTAATTCCTGAAGATTGATGTTTCAAAATTTGCAGCGATGTAGTACAAAAATGGTAAAATGAATTGTGCCCACTTAAAGGGATAGTTCACCCAAAAATGACAATTCTGTCATTAATTACTCACCCTCATTACGTTCCAAACCTGAAAAACCATCGTTCATCTTTGGAACACAAATTAAGATATTTTTGATGCATTCCGAGAGCTCTCTAACCCTCCCATACACAGCAAGGATCCTAACACGATCAAGGCTCAGAAACGTAGCAAGGAGATCGTTAAAATAATCCATGTGACATCAGTGATTCAACTGTTATGTTATAAAGCTACGAGAATACTTTTGGTGCGCAAAGAAAACAAAAATAATGATTTTATTCAACAATTCATCTCCTCTGCGTCACCCTATAGCGCCATTTTGGAGAGTACCACATACGTAAACAACATATGCAATGTATATATGCGGATACATTGTTTACGCTTTGATCTGAACGTAAACAACATATCTGCATACATTGCATATGTTGTTTACGTATGTGATACGATCCAAAATGGCGCTATAGGGTGACGCAGAGGAGATGAATTAATTCCGATTTCTGAGCCTTGATCGTGTTAATTACATTGCTGTCTATGGGAGGTTCAGAGAGCTTTTGGAATGCATCAAAAATATCTTAATTTGTGTTCCGAAGATGAACGAAGGTCTTACGGGTTTGGAACGACATGAGGGTGAGTAATGACAGAATTTTCATTTTTGGGTGAGCTAAGTTTTAGTGCACTTGAGGTTATGAACTCACACACAAACAAAATAAAATCAAATGTGCATGAATTCATTGCTTTTAACACCAAACAATTTTGCATTACATTCTCAGTTAGTGTCTTATAATTAATGCAGTTCCAAGGACTGAAATTGGGTCTAATAAATACTGACACTGTGAAAATGCTTCATTTGAGTTTTCCTGCTGTTTAAGTCATATTCATTTACTGCTAGTTTCACTTTTTACAAGCAGTTCTAGGCTGTGGTTGTTTTGGAATCTTACAGCATCAACCAAAGTCTCTCATCACTGTTAGCCAGAACCAAATGTTAATTCTCAAAAAAGAAGGGGAAAAAGCAGTGTGTCATTTTAGCCTTGTCAGTCTTGCGTTTAATTGATTGATATGTGTGTGTGAAAGGGAACAGCAAAGCTCTAATTTGGCTGTTTTCTCCACCTAAACAAAACTAGTGGGTGTGCAGTTTTTATAGCAGAGGAGAGACAACCAATCCCTCACGAGGAACCGCATAACAGAATGAATCACAGAGGAAGAAAACCATTCTATGTGCTGATTTTGTAGCCAAAAACTTTTGCGTATTACCTGACACAGGGTGTTTGGGTGTACTAAGGATGTAATATGGTCACTATAGACTCTTGTTGTGTGTTTTCGGTGGCTAGACTATCTGCTATAACTCATATCTGGCTAGTCAAAGTTATAGGAACGACTTGAGTTTATCCTTCTTTATGTTTAGCCCGAGGTGTATTTCTGCAACGCTAGGGCCGATTTGCCCACTTCTTTCACTCCCTGCTTGCCCATTATATTTGTCCACTATGTATATCTGTCTCTTTCTGTCTCCAACACAGCCTCCAGTGGGACAGAGAGATCAGATTGATGGGACTGAGGTTGTGAACTATTTAGTTTGATTAAATTTGTGGTTTGGCTGTGATGGCTCA